TGTCATAAAATCAGACATAAGGTTTGGTGTTTGCCCTTGCAACCCAAGGCTCCAGGCATCTCTAAGAACCTGCAGTTCTCTGAATATAACATTTGCTTTCTCATGATGCTGCTTTGCATACTCTTTAGGTTGATAGTAATATACTAACTTTAATCTTGCTCTCCTAGGTATCCTTCAGACCTTGGCTATCATGTCACTTCCCTTAGGAAATGTCTCCAAACCCTTAAATCTGGGCAATGAATCCCTCTTCGTGTCACCATCACACTTACAGAAAGCTCCACTAACAACCTACCTGCACTGCTCTGGAGTTATCCGGTTACTATTCTGTGAGATCTGTGGAGGTAGGAATTAAGTGTTTCATTTTACTTCTCTATACTACACTTAATGTAAGTGCCTACTAGAAAAAAAATAAAGGTATTAATTTAAAGGAAAACCACAATGTAAAATATGAAGGCAGAATCTTTAAACAGATTAATAAAGACAATAGATAAATGAAGAAAATTAACCTAATTATCCTTTAAAAAATAAAAAACACTGCCTTTATTACATGGCCAATTTTAGGATTTATTGAGCTAGTCATACAAACTTACACGCAAAATAGTCATTAAATACAAAATATTCAATAAAAAGCAGAAATTAAAAATGGAAACAAAGCTGTGGCCTAAGTTGTAGAGCACTATCCCTGAGCACAAAAGCTCAGGGAAAGCACCATGGCCCTGAGTTCAAGCCCTTGGACCAGCACAATTAACTAACTAAATACAAAAATTAAAAATCAAAGACTAAATATATCATTCTATTTATACAGCCTTATTTTCCATACATTTTTCTCTAATACTACTCATCAGAACCTTTCTTCAACCTTTCACATGAATTTTCATTGCAATTCAATGTTGTATTCTTTCCTTAATTCCTCAAGTAATTTTCACTTTTCTCTATTTTTACTGTCTCTACTTTCACTCTAACAGAAAAATACAAATACTTAATCTTCTCTGTTAGCAATTTTGTCTAAAATAAAGGAACTATAAAAAAGTAGTGAATAACAAACCTACAGCCAGCATTATACTCAATGGTGAAAAACTAAAGCCATTTCCTCTTAACTCAGGAACAAGACAAGGATGCCCACTCTCTCCACTTCTCTTCAATCTAGTATTAGAATGCCTAGCTACAGCAATAAGACAAGATGCAGACATAAAGGGGATCCAAATAGGGAAAGAAGAAATAAAACTCTCCCTCTTTGCAGATGACATGATCTTGTATTTAAAGAATCCCATAGACTCCACTCCCAAATTACTCAAGCTGATTCAAAACTTTGGCAAAGTAGCAAGGTATAAAATTAACCCCCAAAAATCAATGGCTTTTCTGTATGCCAACAATGAGAAAAGTGTGGCTGAAATTAGGAAAGCAACTCCATTTGTAATAGCCCCACAAAAAATAAAATACCTAGGAATTAACTTAACTAAAGAAGTGAAGGACCTCTATGATGAAAACTTTAAAATCTTGAAAAAGGAAATCAACACAGAACTTAAAAAATGGCAAAACCTCCCATGCTCCTGGATTGGAAAGATTAACATCGTGAAAATGGCAATACTTCCCAAGGCTATCTACAAATTCAACGCAATACCTATCAAAATTCCACCCTCATTCTTCAAGGAAATAGAAGAGGCAATCCAAAAATTCATATGGAACAATAAAAGACCCCGAATAGCAAAAACGCTCCTCAACGGAAAGAACACTGCTGGAGGAATATCAATACCAAATTTCAAACTCTACTATAAAGCCATAGTAATCAAAACAGCTTGGTATTGGCATAAGAACAGACCTCAGGACCAATGGAATAGAATTGAAAACCCAGAAATGAACCTACAGACCTATAGCCATCTAATCTTCGATAAGGGAGCTAAAACAATAGAATGGAAGACAGACAGCCTCTTCAGTAAATGGTGCTGGCAAAACTGGTTAACTACATGTACAAAACTAAAGCTAGATCCTTATATATCACCCTGCACCAGAATCAACTCAAAATGGATCAAAGACCTTGAACTCAAAGCAGACACTCTGAAAACATTACAGGATGGAATAGGAGAAACCCTGGGTCTCCTTGGCTCAGGCCGAAATTTTCTGAATAGAGACCCGGAAACACAACAAATCAAAGAAAGGCTGGACAAATGGGATTGTATAAGGTTGCAGAGCTTCTGCAGGGCAAATGACATAGCTAGCAAGATCAATAGAAAGCCCACGGACTGGGAGAAAATCTTTACTAGCCATACAACGGACAAGGGTCTCATATCTAAAATATACTTGGAACTCAAAAAATTAAACCACCCAACAACAAATCCTCAAAGAAACAACTGCCCAATAAGTAAGTGGGCGAAAGACTTAAAGAGAAGCTTCTCTGAAGAAGAAAGAAGGATGGCCAATAGACACATGAAGAAATGTTCAACATCCCTAGCCATAAAAGAAATGCAAATCAAAACAACATTGAGATATCACCTCACTCCAGTTAGAACAGCAAAAATCAAGAACTCTAACAACAACAGATGCTGGAGGGGATGTGGACAGAAAGGAACCTTACTTCATTGTTGGTGGGAATGTAAACTTGTTCAACCACTTTGGAAAGCAGTATGGAGGTTCCTCAAAAGACTCCACATAGAGCTCCCCAATGACCCAGCAATCCCACTTTTGGGCATTTACCCAAATGATCACAAACAAGGCCACACTAAAGCTACCAGCACAACTATGTTTATTGCAGCATTATTTACCATAGCTAAGACATGGAACCAACCCAGATGCCCCTCAGTAGATGAATGGATCAAGAAGATGTGGTATATATACACAATGGAATTCTATGCCTCCATCAGAAAGAATAACATTTCCCCATTTGTTAGGAAATGGAAAGGCTTGGAAAAAATTATATTAAGTGAAGTAAGCCAGGCCCAAAGAAACATAGGTCCCATGGTTTCCCTTATTTGCAATATCTAGTATAGGTATGAGTCAAGCGGAAAAAGTCAGATAATGTGATGTTAGGAAAACAAAACCTCAAATATGTATTTTAATGTTTTTGTTTCTTTCATGCATGTGTTTCTAACGCATTTATAAGATTATTTCCTTGTTGCTTTGTATGTCCCTCCCCCACAGTGTAACCCCCGCTTTCACTATATTTGATGTCAGTATAACATGTGGAGGAGATGGGGACAAACAAGTCGTTTAAGGATTCAGGTGGACCTGTTGCAACAATGAGAAGTACAAAATGTCATGTCAAAACCAGCTTTACAATGTCGGTGGGGGGGGAGGGGGGGGTACGATTGGTTGGGAGGGAGGGGGGAGGCCGGGAAGGGAGGTGAAGGGTAAACAAAGGAGGAGGCTGCAATGCTTGGTAAGAAATGTATGCATTATCCTGCCCATGTAATTGTAACCCCTCTGTACAGTATGTTCTCAAATAAAATAAAATAAAATTTAAAAAAAAAAAAAAGAAAAAAAAATATTTTTACTGTAAAGATCCTGTACAGAGAGATTACAGTTACATGAGTAAGATAATGAGTACCTTTCTTGTTGAACATTGTTACCTCCCCAATGGTTTTTCTCCAACTATCCCTTCCCTCCCCCACCTCCCCTACTCCTCCTCACCCCCTCAAAGTTGTACAGTTCATTTCCAACACAGTGTCTTGTAAACATCATTGTTGGAATGGGTCATTCTGTGGCCTTGTTTCAGCACTTTGTTATTTCCCTTCCGCTCCCCAAATTAGATAAATGTATATACAAGATGCAGTGTACCAAAATCAAATACAGTGACAACAGGGTATATATCATAGGGTAAAAACATACAAAAGAAACAAAAAAATCATACTTCATTAAAAACAACAACAGCAAAAAAAAAAAAAAAAAAAAAAGTAGTGAATATAATAATATAACAAGTCAGACTGATGGACAAAACTTTGCACATTAATCTGATTGGGCGATTTCATAATACTAAGCAGCTAATCTGAACCATATGTACATGAAGTGGAGTCTGACAGGCATCAGAAAGTCCTTGGATTGTGGCAGCAGGTCAGTGAGGGTAACATGGGAAAAAAAAAAAAACACTAGCCAACATGGGGGTGGTGAGGCCAGCCAAGTCGCAGCCTTATTATATTCTCCAGTTGTATCCTGTCTTTTCAGTAACGAAGCTGAAACAGACAGGGAAAAGTAAGAAGCCATCAATATGAACTGGTGCTGCAGGTAACAGCTTTGACAAGAGCAAGCAGTGGTCAACAACCGCCACCAGGTGCTGGTCCACTGGCTCAGGTACTCTTAAGGACACAAAATAAACACTGCTATTCCCTGGGGACTTTTACATACACAAAAAGTTCTCAGGGAGGCAGACGTACTTGGAGAGGAATTATATAAGGATTTACACTAGGTTGGGAGGGAGAAATTGTTTTTTGGAAGACAACAATTGCTGGAAAGAAATGGAGTACATTCTTTTAATTATCTAAATGTAGCTTTTCAAAACCACTCAACACTAGGTCTTGCCTTGGGAAGTTCATCCGAAGGATAATATTTTTTGGAATTCATAATCAAGAAAAGTTGAACTCAAGTAACTTTTGTATCCAGCAAAATATTAGAAGGGTATGCTTTAGAAAAACTTTCTCAAGGGGTTGGGAAGGTGGCTCAGTAGTGTAGTGCTTGCCTCACACACATGAAGCCCTGGGTTTGATTCCTCAGCACCACATAAACAGAAAAAGCTAGAAATGGCATTGTGGCTCAAGTGTAGAGTGCTTAGCCTTGAGCTAAAGAGCTAAGGGACAGTACCCAGGCCCAGAGTTCAGGCCCCACGACAGAAAGAAAAGAAAAGAAAAGAAAGAAAGAAAGAAAGAAAGAAAGAAAGAAAGACTTTCAAAACATAATGGAATTGGACCAAAAGGGAAAAAAGTAAAAGAAAAAAAAGAAGAGAAAAAGTAAAAGGCACTACCTTTAAATAATCAATTTGTTTCAAAGCAGTGTTAAGCAAGATTTGCTCTTACCCGTATCCAGAAGTTAAGTTCAGATTCTCTAGAATTCTGTGGCTCTTTTTTAATCAGACAACATAAGCACCATATTAGATATTTTTGACTTTCATCTGTAAAGGAAAAAATGACTAGGTTTTATCAAAAAGAAGAAAAAAGATAATCTACATAAAAACATTATGCTTGGGAAAATCTCAAAGTCCTAGATTTACAAAACAAGTATACAGGACTATGTGTGGTTTTTTTTTTTCTTGTGGGTTCAGGATCACTTACATTTAAACTCTTGTGTGGTCAAATTCCATTTTTATAACAGCAGCAGTTTTTAAAGACAAACAAGAATGATGGGAAGATGGGAGGGAGTGGGGAGGAGGGAAGAGAACCTGGGCTTTTCTCAAAATCAGCTTTTTTCTCATTTCAAACCATTAGTAACTTCAGCCTTTTAAAAGCAACACAACTACTATGGGTAGACACAACAGTAGTCAGTATTTCCAGTTTAATCCTTTATTAAGTTGCCATAATACCCTGGCTATTAAAAACAGTTAATAAAACAAACAATTGTTTTCACATGTACTCTGCTTAGTAGCAAATGATTTGCATAAAACAGAAACTTGCCAGGCCTCACTGGCTCATGCCTGTAATCCTAGCTACTCAGAAGGCTGAGATCTGAGGATCATGGTTCAAAGCCAGCTGGAGCAGGAAAGTCTGTGAGGCTCTTATCTCCAATTAATAACAGAAAAAAGCTCAAAGAGACACTGTGGCTCAAGTAATAGAATAGCAAAAAGGAACCCAGAGACAGTGTCCAAGCCAAGTTTGAGCTCCAGGACCCCCTAAGTAATTAAGTAAACAAATAAATATAAACGTATTACATGCTCCCAATTTTCTGTCCTAAAATTTAAAACTTTACTACCAAATATATGATGAAAATGCCAGGCTGTGAAATCTTACATTTGGCAGAAATAGCTACTTGATGGACCACTTCATTTTTCTGTCTGTGATGGCTTAGTTCATTTCTTGGTGATTTTATAATTGGATTAAGAATTTTTAAAAAGAGGGAGGAAGGGAGGTAGTTATAGAATTTAAAGCAATCCAAAATTTTGGTGGGTGGGTTCCTCAGGAGTTGATTCTGCACAGCTAGTGAAGGTAGTATGTGCATGTTTTTCTTAAAAGAGAATCCAGGCTGGCCAGGAGTCTATCCAACCTACAAAAACTGCATTTCTTTGCCCAGAACAAAATTAATGGCTTACAATGCACTGAAATTAAGCCGTCTAGTAGCTCACCTGTAATCCTAGCACTCAGGAGGATCATGAACTAAAGCTAGCCAGGATCATATACCAAACTTCAGGTGAACATGAGTTATAAGTGAGATTCTGTTGCAAAATGAAAATGTAGTGCATAAATTTTAAAAAGGAAATGTATCAAAAGATACTTCTGATGAGCTTGCTTTACTCTGACAGTTCATAGACAAGGTACTGCTAGTTATTCACGAGTGTTAACACAGGGTATGGCATCTGGCAGACTCCTCCCTAAAAGCTCTGAGATGAAAACTAGGGCATCTATCCCACAAGGTTCAGAGCACTCAAGTGAGATCAGAAACTGACTTGCTCCATTCTGGGGTCAGCCATGACAGCAGACCTTAATGAAAATGTGGATTTTAAAAAAAGGAGTGGAAGGGAAAGGAATATGCAGGCATCTTCTATCTAATAGGTTATGCATCTTGAACTGAAATTCCAAATGACAGCTATATTCCTTACGTTTTAAGTTTTAGTTTTAAGCTTTAAGTTTTAAGCTTTAAGTTTTTAGTATTTTTTTTAGACAATAAAGGTTTTTTTTAAGCTGTAAAGTTTTTTGGGGGGGTAGGAGGTAGATTATTACATACAGTAGATCATGAATAGTTATGATGGTGGAGATTGAAGGTAGAATTAGAACTAAGCACTCCAAATTAAGAAGGTGAAGGTACACAGAGTGAGACCAAAGGAAGATATTCTGAGAAGATCACAAAGGGGAAATAGCTATGTGTATCTGATCATATAAAATAATATTATATATGAAATCATGAAATCAATTCCAAGAAATAGCAATAAAGTGTTTTTTTCCCTTTGTTATTGTTTTCTTGGTTTTTTTGGGGGGGGGGCAGGGGGTCTGGTCGTGGGGCCTGAACTCTGGGCCTGGGCGCTGTCCCTCAGCTCTTCACTCAAGGCTAGCACTCTACCACTTGAGCCACAGCGCCACTTCCAGCTTTTTTTTTTTTCTGCTTATGTGGTGCTGAGGAATCGAACCCAGGGCCTCAAGCATGCCAGGCAAGCGCTCTACCACTGAGCCACCTTCCCAGTCCTTTGTTTTCTTTTTTCTTTTGTCTTGTTTATCTGTCTTTGGGAGGGAAAAGGGGGCACAGAAATGGTAGGACAAAGTGTGAACAAATGCAGCAGTGGAAGTCATTAAACAGTATATTGAAAGTAAACTATACAATTTGTAGGTGGGGCTAAGGGAAAAACTGGGAGAGAGCTAGGGAAGGGGCAACATTACTCAAAAAGAAATGTACTCTTTATCTGACTTAAGTTGCAACCCCTCTGTACACCACCTTTATAACAACAATAAATAAATTAAAAATAAAAAAGTAGACAACGATGACTCATGCGTGTAATCCTAGCTACTCAGGAGGTTGAGATCTGAGGACTGCAATTCAAAGCCAGCCTGGACAGGAAAAGTCTGTGATACTCTTTTTTTGTTGTCATGGGACTTGAATTCAGAACCTGGGCTCTGTTCTTGAGCTTCTTTGTATTCAAAGCTCTACCACTTACAGCTACAGCGCCACTTCCAGTTTTTGAGTGGTTAATTGGAGATAAGAGCAGCTGGCTTCAAACTGTGATCTTCAGATCTCAGCCTCCTGAGTAGCTAGGATTACAGGTATCAGCCACTAACTAGCACCCAGCTCCCTGAGACTCTTTATCTCCAAATAACCACCAGAAAGCCAAAAAGGATCTGTGGCTCAAGATAGTAGAGCACTAGCCTTGAGCCAAAAAGCTCAGGGACAGTGCCCAGGCCCTGTGTTCAAACCCCAATGACAGATTAAAAAAGAAATTATAAGGAAGATAAAGGTAACATTTGCTTATAGAAGATAACACAGAATAAAAAGATACTCTTCTTTCCATTATTAGCAATCTTTTTCTCTTTTTTTTTTTTAGGGGGGGGGGTCCAGTTGTGGGGCCTGAACTCTGGGCATGGACACTGGCCCTCAGCTCTTCAGCTCAAGGCTAGCATTCTACCACTTGAGCCACAGCACCACTTCTGGCTTTTTTTCTTTTTGCTTATGTGGTGCTGGGGAATCAAACCCAGGGCTTCATGCATGCAAGGCAAGCGCTCTACCACTGAGCCACCTTCCCAGCCCCTCTCTTTTTTTTTTTTTTATAGGGGGCAATACAGGGATTTGAACTCTTCACATTTGCAAAGGAGACTGCATGAATGCATAAACATGCATACACACATGTTCCTAAAATTTATTTCTGGAAAGATGTTTGAGCAACACTGGCCTAGCTGCAATTTATATACTTAGAGCAACTAAGTGGCCCTGGTGACGCAGTGTTATACTGTTACACACAGTGCTAACTTACTAGTTTTGGTATTTAGATCAAGAGAATCTGATGGGGACATGGAAGAGACTTTAGTGGAAAGAAGCAGGGACAGAAAGGAAAAAAGTAGGGCGAGTATGTTTGAGTATGCAGCACACTCACACATGAGTGCACAGAGAAAAGTACTGTCCTCCTACCTCCTTTTAAATCAGGGTTTCATGCTTGCTAAGCTGGTATTCTACCACTTCAGCCAAACCTGCAGCCCAGCTTTCTACTGGTTATTTTGGAGATGGAGTACAGTGAACTTTTACTGTTCGGCCTGACTTCAAACTACAATCCTCTAGATTTCAACCTCCTGGATTAAGATTACAGGCATAAGCCACCATGTCCAACTGGTTTATGGCTCTTATAATGAGTTATCATAGGCTAGGAATGGGAAACTGTACAGTTCCTTAAAATATCAATTGGAAAACTAGGTACTGGTGGTTCACACCTGTAATCTAGCTACTCAGAAGGCTGAGATCTGAGGATTGCTGGTCAAAGTCAGCCTGGGCAGGAACTCTTATCTCCAACTAACCACCAAAAAGCTGGAAATGGAGCTGTGGCTCAAGTGAGAGAGCCCTAGCTTTAGACAAAAAAAAAAAAACAACCCTCAGGGACTCTCTCTCTCTCTCTCCATCTCTCTCTATATATATATAAAAAAAAATCAATGGGAAATAGCCATTTATTTTTGGTTCTAATGTCATAATATTATGCTATTAGACTTTTGATTTTTTTTTTTAATTTATTGTAAAGGTGATGAAGGGGTGTGTTATAGTTACATAAGTAAGTAATGAGTACATATCTTTTTAAACATTGTTACCCTTCCCTCATTTTCTCCTACTTACCACTTCCTACTCCCCTTCCCAACATAGTATCTAGTGAGTATCTTTGTTGCAGTAGTTCATCCTTTATCCTACTATCTCTGTGATTCCCTTTCACTTCCAAGGATCAGATAAGCTTATATATAAGACAAAGGGTACCGAAAGCTAAAACAGAAAGAAAAAATAGAAATAACTGCATACAGGACATAATAAAAACCTCTTGTTAAGCATATATTAAATTAGCTAGTAATCTGGTCAATACAAAACAAAAAACCTCAGCCATGATCCTTCAGAGGCACGTGCTACCCCTGTGCTGGGCTCTAGGATAACAAAGAGAACTAAAGGCACAGTTTCTGCTCTCTGAAGGAATTTAGTGCTTTAGGGCTTCATACAATGGAATAAGTATTATAATAAAGGCAGAATCGAAGAGCACTCCCTAACTTAGCCACTGAAAGCTTTTTCAAAAAAGACCTAAAAGGACAAAGGACAAAGAGAGGAAAGGGAAACCAACTCCAGAAATTGCAGACCTTCAGGCTCTGCTAGTAATTGACCTGTACAATGAAGATGAGCAGGTTAAGCAGGAGGTCCATGAAGGAATACCTCTTCTAAAGTGTCAACAAAATCTCTCAACAAAACCTGAATGTCACTACCAAATAATGGCAAACCCACAGCAGAAGAATGATTTTCCAACAAAAGGGAACAATATGATAATGTGAAACTGAAACAAAGAAATTAACTTGGCATCATTAGTATGACCATTTCATTCTAAGTTTAAAATGAGGTAATGGAAGTAATTACAAATAACACTTAGTGTTTAAGTGATCTGAAACTGAGCCTGTAAACCTAATTACTTAGGAGGTAGAGATCAGAAGGATTAGCACTCAAGGCCAGCGCAGGCAAAAAAAGTTCATGAGACCCCGCCCCACCTCAACTAATAAAAAGCTGGGTACAGTGGAGCATGCCAGCTATGTAGGAAAGGTAAATAGTAAGATTATAATCTCAGACAGCCTGGCCATAAAATGGAAACCCTATCTGAAAAACCTATAAAGCAGAAAGGGCAGGGGACATGGTTCAAGCAGTAGAGTACTGCTTTGTAAGTGCAAAGTCCTGAATTCAAAATCTCAGTACCATAAAAAATATAGATAGATAGATAGACAGACAGACAGACAGACAGACAGACAGACAGATGAGTTTCATCACTCTAATACAGAGAGTACTATTTTCCTATAAATCTGCACTGGGTATGGGGGTTTACCTATTTAAACATACAGACCCACAGATAACAATAAATGATACTACCTCTGCAGTAGAACAATGACCTTTGATGAGTTGTCTCATGAAAAACAGGAGAGAAGCTTACAATTTAAGTCTTTGTATTTTGTTAACCAATGCAAAGATTAAAACTTTATAAAAGTTTATATTTTGAGAGGACGTATCTTAGATTCTTACCATATGCTAAGATAAAAGGATTCCGGCAAGTTTTGGCTAACAGATGACCAATTTGGGGGTATCTTTCCATGATTATATTAAAATCCTATAAAGGAAAATTTCATTTTGGTTAGAACAGAGCATTATGCAACTCAGAAGACCGAACTGATGCTGTAATTTGAGGAAGCTCCAATATCCTTTGTTTAAGTTTACTGTAGAAAGTTTACAAAAAAGGATGAGATCATTAGGTAAGACATTCAAATAAAATTTAACAAGCAACCAACTGTCATCCTGAATTTCATCCTTAAATCAGGTCACCAGAACTAAGAAATATGATTAGGTAAAATAAAATTTTGTTATACAATTGATTTTTACTTTACTCATAATTAATAGTCAGGAAAAGGCTACTTCATTTAAAAATTATAGACTCCATAAGAGTATAAAATATAAATGGAAATTCATAAGTGTATGATCTAATATTTTCATCTTAGCTTTTTACTTTGACATAATAAGCAAGGTTCCTAACTTAGCTCCAGTAAGTCTATTTCAAAGAAGGTTTAAAAGGATAAGAACTCCAGAACTTGTAAAAAGAAATAGAAGCAGCCAAAGCATAAAGATATATATCTGTTTATTACTATTTTGATTGCTATATGCTCAATGACATCATACTTAATTACAACAATCTAAACCCTGGAGAGAGAAAAATCAACCAAATAGAAAACAGCTTAAGATTAAAAAATACACATGCTATTACACAATTGGCTCCTTTCCCACTTTTTTACCTTTCATAAAAGTTCAAAAATAAGACAAACTAAGATAATGTGCAAGTAAACTGAAACGATAAGCATTTCCTGCTGTTACAGCAACAAATTCCTCACTTTTCTGCATCAAGGCTATTCTTAGACTTTCTGAGACCACATAAAGATCAAGTTACCTAAATCTTACAATAAAAAAGCTTCAGAAATTAGCGTTGGTTGTTCACACAGACCACATCTCTCCTAATTTCTAAAGACATATGAACTCATGTTATCAATAAAATTATTCTTCAAATTTCCTACTTATTTGGAGGAAGAGAAGTATTACAGGGGAGCAACTTGTGTTATGTGCCAATTTGGCTTTGAAATTTTTCACTGAAACTTAAAAATCAATATGAAACAATAAATGTTCATAGTAAGAAACCTTAAACTATCATAAAATATCTGTTACTACAAAATCAATATATGCCAAAAGGAAAATAGAAAATACATGGAATTATAAACAATGAACTACATAAAAATAATAAAGACACCAAAAGCCTTAATTTTCATTAGAAAATATTTAAGATATTTATTAGGGGGCTGGGAAGGTAGCTCAGTGGTAGAGTGCTTGCCTCGCATGCATGAGGCCCTGGGTTTGATTCCTCAGCACCACATAAGCAGAAGAAAAAAAGCCAGAAGTGGTGCTGTGGCTCAAGTGGTAGAGCGCTAGCCTTGAGCTGAAGAGCTGAGGGACAGCACCCAGACACAGAGTTCAGGCCCCACGACTGGCAAATATATATATATTTGGTCTCAAAATTTTAATTTAACATCTCAATATTACAACAGATATTAATATCTGTTACAAGAGGCCACTTGAGAACAAGACTTAGAAAAGAATAAACAGTTCAATAGCCACTTCAAGATTTGAAGGATACAAAGGCCTCAGATAGAATCCCATTCATTACCTGACAACAAAGCACCAAAGTCATGCCTATTTTAAAACATTTACTTGAGCTGGGAGTATTGGAAGAAAGGACTTGCCTATCATGTCTAGGACTCTAGGTTCAGTCCTCAGAACCACAAAAATAAGTACACAAATACATAAATATCTGTAAGGAACTTACTTGGTCAGAAAGTGATACAACTAGCTAAAAAGAGGAGAATGATATAATAAATGAGAGAACAGGAAAGAAGCTCTTGTGTGAAGAACTTAGGGGCACTATGTCTTTCTAATCCTTCAGTATGTTAAGTCCATACTAGAAGTCTCTAACTCTATAGAGCATTCTGGCTTGATAAAATCTGAAAGCCTTTGACGTCACAAAATACTTCCATTATTTTGGCCTACTACTTACCATCTCTTTCAAAGAGTCATACATTTGCTTCAGGAACTCCTGGAACTGGGACAGGTGAAAACAGGTGTCTTGTTGAGTTTCTAGAGTGGAGGAGGCCTGTTCCCACATAGAAAGCTTCTTCAGCCAAAATTGACATTCAGAAGCAAGCACAGAATCTTGAGCCATCTTGGGAAACAGTGATGCCCTGTCAAGAGACCTGCCAAGCACTGAAGTAAATAATTAACACATCAAAACTCATGAAAAGGAACAAGACAGTTTATCAGTGTCTTCATGATCCACTAATCAGTGAAGAAGGTTTCCAAGAAACTAAAATAGCCTGCCTGGAGGCTGGACTCATCTTTGAATCATTTTTTAAATGTGTCTCCCAGCTGTTAACCCTGATTTTTACCATCTGAATTTTTTATCATGAATAATATAATTAAAGTCGTTATACAGGCATATGCTAATTATGTACAAAAAGCACAGCTGATAATACTTTGTATCTTCTTTTTTTAAGACTGAGCTATTTTTAAATGTTCTGAAGTTCCTTTGACTATTTTAATGTATTAAGAAATCAAAAACATCCTTGGGTGTTTAAAAATAGTTTGTGCTGAATAAATGTTTCTGAAGTTCTTATGTTTTATATGCGTATCTTGCTTCTCATTTAGGTGTAAAAAATTCTCAATACTTAACTGTCTAATGAATTTTCTTCCCAGTTTTTCTCTTCATTTCTTAGAAAAAAATATGAAGTAATTCAGTCTACATGCATCAATTTAAACATCTGAGTAAAGATTGCTTTACATAATTGATGTTAATTCATTCATAAAAGCAGGCTATATTTTAGTAAAATGTAAGCATTTCTAATTATGAAGGAGTACTAGTCTTAAGAAATGGTAAAACAAAATTTCTTAAGCTTGACTTCCTACCCCTGAAGTCCATATTTTAAGCACAGTGGGGATCTGAAGGAAGCATGGGCCTCAGAGGGAGCAGTGAACTCTAGCCCCTTCCCTCCCAGTAAGGTGCCCTCCACCATCCTCTGGGAAGCTATAGAGCAGAGAAGGAAGGTCCCTTCTCAACAGGTGTAGGCCTTCATAGATTCCTGCCCTTCTCTGGAGCAAGAATATCATGCACCAATCTCATTTCTAGATGCTGTGCTGTGAGTGGTAAATGAACTGAGCAATAACTAACGGGTAAATTGCTCCTACTTAAATATCAAAAGTGAACATAGGAAAAGAAAAGGAAATTTAAGAAGCCTGAACAGTTTGGCTGCAAAAAAAAAAAAACCAACCTCTAGATTAAGAAGGTCAAGTTTCAAAGTAATATTCAATAACTTACAGTTTTGAAAAGGACTAGGTCAAAACAAAAACAGAAAAAGAAATTTAGTGAGATAAAATACATGCAGTTTGACATGAGGTGGTCCTTGTAAGTTCCCAGCCCTGACCTCCTCCCTTTCTTTCACTGTTCACCCCATCCAAATCATCACCAATACTTGAAATATTAATGCATGGATCTGGCTGAATTGTATCACTGCTTCATTTCTTTCCCACCTCCTTGCTCATACCCATACCATCCCACCTCTTCCTGGTATCTCACAAATGTCTTCTTCCAGGTCTCATATACCTCTCTTTGCTCATCTCTAACAGACAAAAATTAGCTTGTACAAATGTGCAAGCCAGTACACTTTTCCTCATAGCTTTTTTTTTTTAATCCAGTTGTTGTAGAAAGCCTCCCAACACCATGCTGGAGTCTCCCGGCCTTCTAACAGTGGCTCTGGTCCTCTTTAAGCCTTGTGCTTCTTGACAGCACACCAGTCAGCCCAGGCCTTCAAGAAATACTCCAGAAACACACCTAACTCTTCCCTGCTTCCAGGTTTTTCCCAGATTTTTTTTGGGCGGGGTCTGGTCGTGGGGCCTGAACTCTGGGCCTGGGCGCTGGCCCTCAGCTCTTCAGCTCAAGGCTAGCGTTCTACCACTTGAGCCACAGCACCACTTCCGGCTTTTTTTCTTTTTGCTTATGTGGTGCTGAGGAATCAAACCCAGGGCCTCATGCATGCAAGGCAAGTGCTCTACAACTGAGCCACCTTCCCAGCCCTCCCAGATTTCTTTACAGCCCTTCACAGTAGTGATTATCCTAGACATTGATTTGGTCACTTAGTTAACATTTCCTCTGCTACTGTGTATATTTCCTGTCTTCCTAGAACTTAGTACATGCCTGAACTAAATAAAAACTAACTGAAACAAAGGGTGATTCTTCGGTATTTTTCCAAGTACTAAATGTCATAGAAAAATGCTTTTCCACATAAATCAATTTAATTTTTAAAAGATAACCCCATAAAGGAATTTCTAAAAGTATTTAAGTTACTATTTGGAATTGAACTATTATCCCATTTACAAATAAAATGAGTTTTTGACAGTACTGAGGACTGAAATCAAGGGTCTCATGGTTGCCAAGCAAGTGTTCTATCGCTTGATCCATACCTCCAGTCCCTTTTGCATTGTTATTTCCTAGGTGGCTCTTGCTATGCTAATCTGAGCTATAATTATTCGACCTGTGCTTCCCTGTGTTACTGGGGATGATAGCACACACCACTCTGTCCAGCCATTTTGTTTCCTCCATAGCTGGGATAATAGCACACTATATTTGCACCTCATCATTGGTTGAGATAGAGTATCCCAAACTCTTTGCCCAGCTAGCTTTGAACCACAATCTCTTAGTCTCTGCATACTAAGTAGCTATGATTACAGACTTGGGCCACCATATCCAAATACATTAATAACTTAGAGGTGAAATATTTTATACTAATCTAATCATTATACCAATGAAATGGTACTATAATTATTCTCATTTTATAGAAGTATTGGATTACAAAATTACCCCAAGTAAGATTATGTGATATGCTAAATGAAGTAATGTAGCAAAACCAAAATTGTGGTATTTTAATCCAGGGTCTATCTCTAAAATCTGCTCCCTTAAAAAAGAGGAATAAAGTGAAAAGAACAATTGATGGATTTCTTTTTTTTGGGGGGGTGGTCCGGTCGTGGGGCCCGAACTCTGGGCCTGGGTGCTGTCCCTCAGCTCTTCAGCTCAAAGCTAGCACTCTACTACTTGAGCCACAGAGCTACTTCCGGCTTTTTTTTTTCCTGCTTATGTGGTACTGAGGAATCGAACCCAGGGCCTCATGCCTGCAAGGCAAGCGCTCTTCCACTGAGCCACCTTCCCAGCCCTATGGATTTCTTATATATTTAACACAGCACTAGAGGAAGATTTAGGGAAGGAAGGGACAGCATTTAGTGCCTTGAAGATGGAGATGCTGAACATAATATGGTGCACTGCAGAAGCAACCCATAAAGTAAAATTCCCATCACACAAAGGCCAGTGATAGCAACCCTGACCTAGACATAACACTATAGACTGTATATCAATAGATCTTGTCTGTATAGCATTCTTCCTCCCCATTTTTGAGGACCATTCCTTACTTTTCCCTAGAAGGTACCTTTCCTCTACTCTGCAAGTCTTGGAAGGCCTGTCTATCAAAGCACACTTGGATCAATGTAAATCAGACTCTGCTAGAAATCTGATTTAAGTTAGGAGGGCATAAGGATGTAACTCAGTCATCCAAAAGTGCATGTTCGCTCACTTTTGCTTTCTCGCTCTTTGTGCTGGTATTGGGACTTGAACTCGGGCCTAAGCATTGCCCCTTAGCTTTTTCACTCAAGGCTGGCACTCTACCACCTAAGCCACAGTTCTACTTCTAGCACTTTGCTGGTTAACTGGAGAGAAGTCTCACAGCTTTGCCGGCCCCACTGGCTTCAAACTGTGATCCTTGATCTCAGTCTACTAAGTAGCTGGGATTATAGGTGTAAACCACCAGCACCTGGCCAAAAAGCTCTCTTAATGTAGATCACTAAAATCTAACCTCATTCATGTCCTGAAAAAGTTAAAATTTTTCCTCTCTCAACACTTTAAATATGTCACTCTATTCCCTTTGTGCCTACATAGTTTCTGGTCACTCAGTTGTAATGCATATTTTTGTTCTACTAGTAAAATGTTTTACCCCCTCTGGCTTCTTCCATGAGTTTTTCTTTAAAACTTTACATCAATTGAAGTAGATATGCCTAGGTGTATTTTTCTTGATATTTATCCTTTCAGTGTTCCTAAAGCTTCCTGAATATGTGGTTCATTGTCTGATATTAATTTGGAAGATTCTCAATAATTACTGATTTGAATATTTCATCTTTCTTCTCCTTCTTGTAATCTCATATGTGTTAAACCTTTTGTAGCTGTCCCACCATATGCTGCTCTGACAGGCAATGTTTTGTTTTGCTTTATTTTTTGTTCATCTTTGTTTTCTGATTTTCAATTCTGGAGATTTATAATTTAAAAAAATCCTCAAGCCCTGAGATTCTTCCTTCAGCCATGTACCATCTATTAGGATCATGAAATACATTCTTCATTTCTGACATAATATTACTGTTCTCTCCCCTTCTGTTCTATGTTAAGATTTCTATGTTAAAATTTCCATCTGTCTGCTTTCACTGTCTGTTTTTGCATGCTGCCTACTTTATCTATGAGAGACTTTGACTTAAATTCTCTTTCTGATAATTCCAACTTCACAACAAAGCTATTCTGATGCTTACTCTTTCTCTCAAGTATGTCTTTATCACAAAGTATGCCTTATAAGTTTTTCTTGGAGCTGGATATAATGGGTAAAAGAAACTGCTTTACAAGCCTTTTGCAAAATGGTAGTAAATTGTAGGAGAGAAGTCTTTAAAAATCCTGTTTTACCAGTAGGTAGTTATGGCCTGGATGATCCAAGATACTTGGTGTCTCCAACAAAAAAAAATGAATGAATAGACACATATACACACACACACACACACACACACACACACGTGCGTGCGTGCACACACACACACAGTAGCAAAGCAAGTTTAATAAAAAGTAGAAAGTACACCATTAAGGGAAATGGCAGGCTTGAACTCGATAGCTGAGGAGCAAACATGTGATTAAGAAAATTTCAGCTATTTAGAGTTTGGAGAGTGTGGGAGGAGTTCACAATAATAGTGGGCTGATCTTAGGGAAATAAGGGAATCATGACTTGGCAAAGTTTTGAAAGGGACCTAAGCATATACTATGCCACCCATTGTTTTAAGTGTAAGTGAAAGATGCAAGCATTCGCATGGAGTCTTAAATGGGAGTTTGTCAAGGAAAGGTCAG